TTATTATTATTATTATTATTATTATTATTATTATTATTATTATTATTATTATTATTATTATTATTATTATTATTATTATTATTATTATTATTATTATTATTATTATTATTATTATTATTATTATTATTATTATTATTATTATTATTATTATTATTATTATTATTATTATTATTATTATTATTATTATTATTATTATTATTCCCACCACAATTAAACTAAAAACGGTTGGGATTTTACTTAAATAGATTTTGGTTTCGCTTTTTTACACTACACTTCATGCATGTCAAATAACTGAGACAAAATAAATACATTTCAACTTTTGATACATTTAAAACTTCAATCAAATTTAAAATTGAACAGTAATTTATCATTTGAATGATTAACTTTTCAACTGACAGGTGTGACACTTTTAAATTGCTAAGTTTTGCTTGAGGAGATAAAACTTATTACTACCATATTCTATCTATCCATTTAAACCATAGTTCATTGCAAAAGATTTGTTAGAGGAGTAGTGATATTCAGATTAATAAAAGAGTAGATTAAAAACATCGTTCTTATTTCGTCGGCAAGTTTTACGCATAAACAAGTTTTAATCATATCCCTATTTCTCCTTGGCATTCCTCTTAAAGCAATTTAAAATTGGTATGTTTAGAAATTTTCCAAAATTAATTAAATTCATGAAAGCATTGTAAATAGAGATGACAAAAAATGACAATTAGAAAATCCTGTCTGTTATCCGGTGAATTTGAACCAACTCTAAAAACGATCCTCCGTACATGAACTTTCCTTTGTTAGTTAACGGGTATTTTCTAATTGTCATTTACAAATAGCATTTAAATTAAATTATGATGTCAAATTAAAAAATTCAGGTAAATTCAAGACATTTGCTAGAATCCGAATTGCTGGGCCGCATTTCTACGATGGAAGCTGTTTGCACCGTCGTTGTGAAGTAAAAGATGTTAAAATCAGCAGACAGTTCGAAGTGCAAATAATCAATAATTTTATCATTGATTAATAGTTCTTCGAGATAATTCTTAGGAAAAGACTGAATGATATTTCAAGACTTTTTCTCGAGATAATATAATGATTAAAATCTGCGCAGGAAGTAGATTCATTATTGAAATCAAAGAATGGAAAACAGGAATTTTGATTTTATCATTTGTATAAAGTATTCACTTGTATGTAATCGAAGAAAGCATTTCTTATAGCCATCCTAATTGTGAATCCACCGATCTCATTTGAGTGAGTAATTTGAACTGAGGGCAACATTTTTGCAGTGATTTTACTGATATTCGTCAGTTTAGAAAATTCAGCCAAAAATGGAATTCAAATATATCATTAATTGGATCTATTCTTGATTTTTAATTTATTTACACATGGAATATTATCTAATTTTTCATCAAAGAGTTGCAAATCGGATCAATCAATAATTTCTTTAAATAAAGTCAAAAAGCATAGAAGGTGAAATTGAGGAGAAAGGATAGATGCAATGAAAACATTGTGGCAGTCTCATATATAAACATTACGGATTTTATATCATTTGCCAACAAAAATTGGCACTTTTGAAGCATTTGTATGTTTGTTTGAGTGACCGACTGAATTAATTTTATTATTTTATTTAGATAACCAAATAATTTGAATATTCTGTTAGACGGAGCTAATTAATTTGAAAATGGATAAAAAAACATAAAAATGAAGCAAAACAATATGAGGTTTATTCCCTATACAAAAAAATGTTTAAACAATTGTTTTGCATTCATGCAAGCTGATACAGGTTATGAGTATGTTAATTATTGAATGTCAGGAGTTAATTATAATTAGTAAGTATTAGAAGCGAATGATAGATTATGATACATTCGTTAATTATATAAGTTGAAAGAGAGTTTGCTCCGCTTATTGTTATTCATCGTTACAACGATAGATCTACTAATATGAGTTATTGCTGTTTAATTAATCCTTAATCTATCAATTATATAAAGATTTTCATAAACAAACAAAACAAACATTTTCGAATCAATACATAGTATTTTTGAAAATTTTCAAGTTCCTTTAATTTAAAGCATGACTATCTTTATGTTACTAAGAATGTCAGAATTAATAAATTATTTCATTCAATCCATTACTTAAATTTGCATACAAATATTTCAGGATGCAAAGATGTATAAATTTCATTTCTTTCAAAATTCTGCTTCAGTACTTCCAAAACAATGGGTGGTAAATGTTCAAGGATGTTTCAAAGAGATGATCTATATATCGTTCGTTATGATCAAGCGTATATGTTCATACCAATGATACGCATTAGTTGCTTGCATGTCTACCTGGGTCAAGCAAATTGAATAGCATGCCATGAGAAATGCAATTTTTGGTTCATACAACAATAAATGGTTTATAGGAAAAATCTTCAGTTGCTCTTTAACTAATCTCTTTCTTATGTTTTGATAATAAGATTTTGAATATTGACAAAAATTCAAAAATTTCGAATCCTAAAATAAAGAATATTTTGAAACTTAAAAGGCTAAAGGTTAAACCAAACTCAATAAATCAAAATAAACTTGGGGACAGAAAATTTAAAATCTCGTTGATGCAATTTCTTGGATGAAAGAGATTTCACCAATCGCAGGTGCAATGGCGACATCAATCACATCATCCGGATTTCCTTACTCTTGATCAAGGCGAAATAGTTATTGTACGAGAATATCATAACCGGTTAATTTAGTGAAGAACTATGCATCTGAAAAAAATTAGTTAGATGAATGAACTTAGAATAGATATAATTGATATATATATATATATATATTATATGATGCCTTTTAGATAAATGTCTTTTAGAATAAAATGCAAAATAGCGAATGCAGAAGAAGAGATCCAAAACCTGGTAACAATTGAGCGTCTACATCATAAAAGAGGCCGCAAAAACAAGGGATTTATTTCCATCAACTATTTACAATCTTTAAGGTCCGTAAAATTATCCCCAAGAGAGTTTCACAAGTGATAATGGCTTCGCAAACTTGATAAGCCTTTATAAATGATAACGGTAACAGAAAACATGGTATTCTAAAAAAAAAAAGGTATTCTAAAAAAAGTAAAAGAAAACATGGTATTCTTTGCTATTTTTGCTTCATTAACAGTTCTACTGGACTGCCGAAAACAACAGTGGGTCGAGCAATTTTGTCCACTTACAATATTCCACGAGAAATTCTGGAATGCAGGTAGATCTGCTACTTGTAATTCTTGATGTATGTGGACTGGATTTCAAGAGTAGATCAGATATAGAATGAGTGCTAACTTTTAAAACTGCCAGGTGGTTTGTTGGATGTGTTAATCCGGTGGAAGTAGGAATCTGGCTTCGAAATGATCTTCAGTCATCGTCTGGTAGCTATCTGGTTTGTCAACCATCGGAAATTATACCATACATTGCAGGATGGCCTGATTATATATTAGTTGTCAAATGTCTTACCGGTAAGCACATAAGTGATGAAACGAGAAATTTGTGAAACAAACCAACTATGAAAGCATCTCTAGAAGTTTTTGAGAGCAGTTCTTTTTTTCACAGAATCAAATCGAGTCAAGAGATCTTGAAATTTGCAAGTAATCGAAAAACATTATCAACTTGTCAATGAGTCGGAGGATAAAGACATAATGATCAGTAATTAAAGTAGAGGGAACTTTTTCTTGATTTCCCAATGTTATTTCAAGGATCGGAAGAAGAATTTTACCGTGAATGGGAAGAAGATCAAAGACATAACATTCAACATACACTTTCAACAGCCTATCCGACCCGAACCGTTAAAATGGATATCATGTCCGGTATCAACCAACCGTTCCCTCCCATTACTTACATTAGAATAAGAAGGACAACGTAAGCTTTCTTCATCCTTGGCCTGTGATGTGGCGCGACGCTAAAATCCAGGCAAAATATCAAAATCAAAGTAGACGACGTCTAGCCGTAACTACTTCAACTGCTTTGAGTATGACTTAAGATAAGACTTTGGGGTTTAGAATAATGACTGTTGCGAAAGTTTTGGAATTTATGTATAGGCATAGTCAAATATTGGCCGAGAATAGTTCATTGATAGACGGAGTATTTATACGTTACAAGAGAGTTTCTAGAAAATATTAAACAGAGTTGATCATCAAGTGGATTGAACTAATTACTTAGAATTGATTACTAAGTGAATTGATCACGCACATTTCCCTGAGTGATTCGGGTTTATGTTGTTGAGTGAGTAACTGAATGATGAATTGTAAAAAAGTGCTGAATTAGAATGACCTGTTGTAGAATGATCCTTTGTAGAATGGCCCATATGAAATCACTTTCGGTATTTATCCGTATTCTTTATATAGTGGGAGTTTGTTTACAATAATCCAAGAGGTTAGAACTGATTGACCACAAGATGATCTGGGGTTCTTTGCAATATGCCGACAATGAGCTGAAATCCTTTACAATATACTGACATTGATCAGAGATTCTTTACAATACATCGACATTGTACATGAATTTGGTTATCAACATGAGTTGAGCTGTATATCTTTACAATGTCATCTTTGCAATATTTTTATACTAAAAATATTTAGGTTTTTACCGATAATGATTCGTCATTACAAAACCAAGCTTTTTACAGAACAGGTTGTTTCTATCTATTTGATTCCAATAAGGAGACGTTCCATACGATTTATCAACTTCTTAATTATTATTCAGGTTACCATTATGTTCGAGCTTTTTTACTTTTCGTACTTTTTTTTATTTTTCTAATTAAACCTTTCATTTTTCTATCAATAAGAGTTTCAAACATATCATAATGTGGCGAGATAATTCTGCTGAAAACTTAATTTCAAATTGATGAAAGCAGGAAATCAAAGCAAAATACTACAGAACAAAAATTAACGGTGGATATGAATGCCTCCTTGGCAATACGATATCCAGTAGAATACCATGCCAGTCCAGTCCCTGGACCAAAACCGACGGAAATATCAGAACCGTCAATAATTTACCAGGAATCAAAACATATAAATGGTCTAATCATGGTACCAGACAAGAAGGTGTATTCATCATCAATAGACAAATAGCTGAGTCAGTGGACTAGTTGATAGAGCGGTATAATGAAATAGTAAAAACTTTTCACAGTGAATAATGATAGTAAGAAAGTGATGGAGGAAAAAGAAAGTAACAAGAAATAGTTGAATGAAAACGGGAACTTGATTCCGTTATCATTCTGATTTTTGGAATCAAATGAAGTATTATATTATCCTTCGTCCTAATAATGTCATCTCCTTACTTCTTCGAATAATGCAAATGAAGTATTGTTTTCAACCGTTTAATTAGTTACTCCAGGCTTTAATTAATTTTTCAGGTTATACATTACAAAATCAACATAATATCTGAAATCGGAACGAAACATAGGGCATTCGCTGGAAAGACTTATCGCGGTGAAATTTTCGCCCTTGTGTATACTGATCAGGGCAAACTGTAGTTTAAAATTACTAATTTGTGATTTAACTCAAAGTCGCTTTCGACTGGAACCCTAAACATATAGTAGATCTGAATATATGTGTGTAAATTGAAATTAGTTGCAAATAATTAGGGTTACTTAATATTTATTATTTCAGCTGTACTCTCATCAGAAGGTCGTTACAGCGAAGTTGCATTCAAACGGCTCAAAAAGTCTTGTTTCCAAGAAGAACTTTTTGAAAAATGTCTTAATTTATTACATATTGAACGTCGACAATATGCCACTGAACTTTTGAGCATTGCAAAGTAATTAACACTCATTATTAATATTTTGATGATGGCATGATGTTGCAACTCACAATGCACCTGCAATCAATCTATTGAAGTTACAAATAGTTCCCAATAATTTCTTTTTTCTGCATATATATTCAGGTTTTTCTTTGTGATTCAGTCTCCAACTTTGCTCTTCTTGGTATTTGGTTTTCATTCCCACTCTGTTTTACTAAACAGATCTCGAAAGCAAATTAGAAAGACAGCCTGCCTTAAAAGTTATTTATTAATTATAACTGTTATTCCTGATCTTTGTCTAGTTTTGCTAAAATAAAAAAAATCACTGAAATTCTGTTACCTTTTACACTATCAGTAACTTATCACTGTTTACAGAAGCACTTCATACAGTGTTCAAGGTGAAGAGTATATTTGCAAGATTGCAGGCTTCAGCACTGATGACAAGGTAATTTTGCATTTTGTAGAAATGAGTTAAGCATCGAGGTGTAGGCTTACTTTTGGCATTGAATACCATATACTTAAGACACGTGCTTTTACTGCGGAAGTTTTGAATCGTTGTAATTTCAGATATACGGTCCATGGGTGGCATATGAATTCGTAAGCGGGAATCCGCTGGATGTTGCGCTTGTGATGCGTAGAAGAGATGGATTACCACCACTGACACATCGAGCTAACTTTGAAATCATGTACCAAGTACCTGTTTCTTATGCAACCACCAAGATGATCACACCTAGGTCATCAGCTCCTTCCTGCAAATGATGCAGTGGATCAGTCGAGCACTAGGTGTTAAATGCGCCGTGCCATGCAAGCTATAATTCATGAATCTATGATTCTCTGTTGGCCAACTAATATATCATGATGCATTTCCAACTTGCCAAAATTTTTCGCAAATACATTTTCTACAACAATTAAACATTATTATCGGATCTCGTTTTTTGTATAAAGACATATTCTTATGCACTACGCATTCGTCATCTGAGAAATATCATATTTCATTCAGCAAGGCTACGCCAGGTTTTGAACTTGCACTAGGAAGCATCCGATAATGATTTTCCACGGCTTCTTCAGATTTATGTATGAATAGCATGAAAAGTTGATATGTCTTAAAATTCAAGCAAAAATTGAAAAAACTGGGAGACGGTGCCCATCCCATTCAGAAAGTTCTAAAACGAAAAGTTCCAGATAGCAGCCGGAATGCGATATCTTGAAGATAACAGCCTATGTCATCGGGATCTTCGGGCAGCGAACATTCTCGTATATGTACAACATCAGTATTCAATGGCTATCAAAATTACCGATTACATGCTAACTCTCTCCATTTTGAGTAAACTGGTACGTAACGTTATAAAGGCCACAAATATCCCGAAGTTTGAGCAGAATAACCAAAAATTGCAAAGATGTTTATCTTGTTATAGAATTTTGGAGACTCCAATATATCTATCCATAATCGAGCAACCAAACTGCCAATTTCAGCCAGAAAATTCTGATCTTAGCTCATTGCACTGGAGATGGATGGATTGTGAAGCTCTTGAATACGGTCAATTTGGTATCAAAACTGACATCTGGTCATTCGGTTGTGTTATGTTTGAAATTTTAAATCCTGGAAAACTACCATATTCACTGGAAAAAATTCCAATCGAAGATCCGCAGGGGTATATCTCAAAATAATTCTGCTTGCCTTCTGATAAGTATCATCTTCCTATGAATAGGTTTACTTGAGAAAAACAACATTCGAATTTGCAATATTTCCTATTTATAGCTAATTGGTTTGCATGACTTGTAAAAGAATATGAATTATTTTTCAATAAATCAAATGTTTGTCCTCTTCCTTTCGAGGATCTGTTGCAAATTTTGGAAATCGCCAACTTCATTTTTACGATAACTTTAAGGCTGCTAAAATTTTTGGGATGTGGCAAACGAATGACGATACAAAAAAGCGTCGAACAAAGAATACCGAATTCTATTTTAGTAAAATTTTCCGAACTTCTAATTTCACTTACATGCAGAAAATGAATAAATCCTTCATCATCTTACTTTTTTCTTCGCAATTTTAATAGATCATGGCACTTTCAACTATCTTTTTCATATATACCGTTGTAACTTTATAAAGAAAGACATGACTGCTGGAATATTATACTTATTAAATCTTGCAGACGTTAATAAACTGCTGCTGGTTGGCGCCGAAACGCCGTCCCTCATTCGACTATCTGTTCACTTACTTCTATGATCTGTTATTCGATTTTGTCAGTGGCTGTGACAAAACAAAGGCCTCCTTAAGATTATTTCAATAATTTGCAATTCTAAATTATTTGTCGATAGTTCTTGAAGTATGGGTAGCAGATGCTAGGTGCAATGTTTGACCTTAATAATTTATCTAGTGAATCTCAGAGCATTAGAAAAAAAAGGTCGGCAAATGCAAGATTTACACATTTCATACTGAGCTGTTCTTGATTGTGTTTCATACTGAGCTGTTCTTTGATTGGACTAGTTTACATAATCACTGATAAAAGTGATGACTAATAGAGCAACATATTGCCTATTTGAAGAGCCAACATAACCACGTCATTATAGTACTTTTCTTCACGAAGTATTGAATAATTATTGCGACCATAAAATAAAATGAATCTGCTCAAAATATAGAACGAATTTTCCGTTTTGACAAAAAAAGTAATCCAATCCAAGCTTAGGAGGGTGGCGCTGACACAACAGAAAGTGCTAGAGCTGAAAACGCTGCATAAAAAAAGACCCTAACAAGATGAAAAAAAGTAGAATAAGTAATTTTTCTTTTTTGAAGTACAAAGGACCACCTGCCTGTTTTGCATAGCTTGCAACTTTATTTGTTGCATAGTAATTAAGTTTTTGAATAGTAATGAAGCAATGTACTAGTAAGCCTGAAAAATACGGAAACCTTGAGGAAATGCACATGTCCCTCAGCAAATACACTTCTCTTTTCGGGCATTCCAATCTTTATTGGCACTCCTTATATCGCATTTACAACCATAAACCCCTTGATACAATTTACGTGGGACTGTTGTTTTCACAGAAGGCAGATATCAGTAGCACAGCCAAAAGACTACCATCTACCACTATATCCTGAGAATTTAGCAAACCGAACCTGCGGTTCGGGCAGCGTCTGCTAAATTTTGCACAATCGTACTAGATTGCAACGCTTTATTATGTGCCACTAGACCTGGAGCAGTATGAAGGTAGTCCGTCTACTGTCTCATTATTTTTGTGGCAAGAGTGGCCATGTGTATTATGTAAATACTTCCTTGCTAATGTGAGCTTTGTCAAAATATTTCAAATGCAGAATCACAAGTTTTTAAAAGTCGTGGAGTAGTCGACTTGACTTGTCCAACGCAACGGAACGCTCTCATGATCAATCTAATTCCACAAAGGCTTGTACAATAAACTGGGGATTGGAATTTCCGGAATTGACCTCGAAACTGTCATCATAATATTCTTATTTTACTTGTTTTTTTCACAAGTGAATGAATTTTACCTCATTTGTGGTAAAGGACTACGGTGATTTGTTGAAATTACTCATGTTGTGCGCATCTTTTGTTCCGCTACATATATCTTTGACATTTTTCATACATATGATGTGAAAAAATAGGTAAAAAACGATGCAAAAATTAATGTAATAACGATGGACTTATAAAATATTGCAAAAGCAAAGGGTGGTTTTTATTACATATGTATGCGAAATCAGTTAATTCATTTTAGATATTAAAAATCTCTGAGTAGTTGTCACGTGATATCTGAATGCTTAGATATTGTTAAAAATCAAATCCTAATGAAAAGCAAAACCAAACTAAAGCTGGATGAATTCAAACCTTAAAAGTAAAAAATTGGCTCAAACCGCGGGTCCAGAATTGGTTTGTTAACTTCTCAGAATGTAGCGGTAGATGACAATATCTTCTAACTATGCTACTAACACCCACCTTATGTGAAAACAGCAGTCCCACGTGGCGTTAATATGATATAGGAGTGCCAACAAAAGATTGGAATGCCCGAAGAGAAAAATGTATTTGCTGAGAGATATGTGCACTTACTCAAAATTGCCGTATTTTTTAGGCTTATTAGTAAAGAATATGGTGGTGTTTGCAAATTGTTTGGATGATTTTAATATTTAATATGTTGCGACAGTTTAACCTTCATTGTAAACCGTGGTCTTGAGAACATTGCACTCAGTATGTGGCTATACACAGTGAATTTTACGAGACGTGTTAAATCGCTCTCGATATTTAAAGATATGCGTTGGTGACGAAAATATGCTTCCATCGATGACCATACATTTCCTATTTGTTATAAATTGGCAATAACCAGCAAGGGCTGAGTTATCATTGCAGAGATTCGGTCCAATAAATAGCATAATTCGATGTTAAACTATCGTTGTCTACCAATCACTGACCAATACGCCTAATAACCACCATTTCAACTACAGTGGAGTAATGTTTTCAGGTGATATGATTACGCTGTTATTACTATTGACCGTTCTCAGCGTATGTTGCTATTAGTTACCCATTTATCGGTTCTAAGAGATACCAACAGGAGGCATCCAGTCGATATCGAAGGATTTATTAAAAATAGGTCGAAGAGCATAAATCGTAGAATCGTCTAGAAATAAATCGGTCAATAATAGTTTTTCTTTTGATGAATCTGAATGAAAGAAGTATGCTGTATTCCTCAAAGGACAAATTTGTGATTTGATATTAAAGTTGTAGGTAACACTCAATAGAACAACAGTTATTTACAAATAAATATCACTTCAATTCCTAAAAGTTTTGCTGCGTTCCGAACTATAAATAAAGGTATTTCCGAATATATTTAGCATGATAATCAATCCAATGAAATCAGCTCCCAACAAAAATATAAAGGAGAAATTGGTCGTTAGCTACTTCTTTTGTATCAGATTCAACAGTTCTACATCAATTTCTACGCCATTTGGAATTTAAGTTTGTAGGGGGTCTCATATTTATTTAAATGTGAGTCAGGAAGTATTGGTCCTTATATAATAGTAATTATGAAATGAGGTGTTACGATCTGTACTACAAGATACAACAAGTATTTTCAGACGATATACTGCACTGATCGTGATAACATAGAGTTGAATCAAGTTTTATCTTTTCCTTTCCTTATGTATCTCAGTATGTATTGCTTTCCATATCTTCTCTACTTTTTCCGTTATTTCAACAGGAAAACTTTGGGAAAAAAGTGCTTCTACAAAACTTGGTGTTTTAATTATCCAAAGTCTAACAGTTAATTTTGGAAATTTAGAATCTCAGCAAGAACTTCCGATATAGCAATTTAGAAGAATGCTTAATTAGTCGATTTTGGACAATATGAGGATCTCATTTTTGCATTAAACCGTATCATATGTATACTATAATTTTGGAAAATAAAATTTTGGAAATATACATATCAACAATGTTTATTAATTGTAATAGAGACAGATTAACTAGTCCGGGTAACTTCATAGGTGAAATGCTTGTCAGCTATAAGCCATTTGTTGTAGGTCTTCATCCATTCACTGTTGAGGATAGTGTTGTAGGTACCGCGGAATCGATAATCTTCATTCATCAGGCACAGTATTAGAGTACGCGCAGCACGAGAAGGTATATCTCTCGAAAAGATCATGCAGTTTGACACTCTTTTATCATTTTCATATGAATCCTGCAAAAAGCTCATTCTTTAAAACTGTTGACACTTTGTTTTTTGGCAAAAGCAGAGTTACATGAAGCTATCAGTGTCATACAATTGCATATTTCCATGCTTGAGCAGAACATTAAAAGGAGCTCTTCCTTGAAATATTCAAAGTGAAGCATTTCAGTGAAAATATACGAAGAAAACAACGAACATGAGGCCATTTCCCAGTAAGCATTGTATAAAGTAATACACCCATCGCGTACCAGTCACTGGCATATGCATCATACGGTCGATGTCTGGATTCAGATTCTCATATTGGACTATTTATGAATAAGAGAATGGTCTCAACGAATTACAGTTCAAATCGAATCTTGATACTCAATACTAGCAAGTAATAAGCATGCTTACAGTGACTACGAATTTATTTAGTAATCCTGATAACAATCAATAGAGTGCAAATTTGGCAAGGTAATTCATTTCGATCTACTTACAAATTCATACAATTTTTCTCTTATAATTGAACATTATTCTTCTTTTACACTGGCGCAGATTTGCAAGACATCTTGCTTTGTATCGCTGAATTAAAAATAGTGCGATGATGCACCAATTTATGCATTCGAACAAATTTTATTTTGAACTAACTGAACAATTTCTGGTGCAGAATAAGGTTTAGTGCCACAAAAGGATTTCGATCGTTCTTTCTGGTTGATATAACGAGCAAAGCCAAAGTCAACAAGTTTTACATCACCATTTGAATCCAGAAGCACATTTTCAGCTTTAATATCACGATGCACAACACCACGATCGTGAAGATAATGGACTGCTTCTGTTAATTGACGGAACAGACGACAAGCGTGTGGGAATTCTGACAGGGAAACTTAGATCCACATTAGTTTTCGTAAAACTATTAAACTTACATTGATTTGCGATATAACAGCGCTAGATCACGCTGTTATTTTAAATACAATGTGAATACGCAAACATTTATGGTCAGATGTAGAAATATATGAAGCAAATGTAAACAGTGCCCAGATGCTCCTAATAGAATCGTAATCGCTAGACTTATGCATCACAGTAATTCTATTCAAAAATTTGTTTATCATGAATAAAAAATAGGCAGAACAGCTTACCAGGGATTCTCTTCCGTCGAAGGATCAGATGCAGCAGAGTTCCACCGGAATAATATTCACTGATGATAGCAATTTTAGTTGGATGAGGTATTCGAATTGATATTGCCTGAACTTTGATGGAAGGTAAGTTTTAATCGTAGTGAAAGTATATCATTGTTCATACATACGGAAGAAACAATACAGTTCTAAGATCTTCCTCAGAACTTTTGAACTAAATTTTCAAGTACAGTTGAAAGGCTTTCCAATGATTAGGAAATTCATAGGCGATGCAAAAGAAAGTGACATATTCTACACGAAGCACATTAGCGCAATTCGTCATTATATCAAATGGTTTCTATTAGTAAAAAGAAATTCTGTTGGATTAGAATCAATTTGTAGAAATGATAAACTAGGTAGTTGATTAAAGATAATGAGCGACATCTAATTGGGAACTGGGAGAGAGTTGTTGACTTCGTTCTCTTTTAAAATTATTAGATGTCGATCGCAAACTTACGCGGGCAATGTGTGGATGTCGAACTATTTGGGTAAACAGTAATTCGCGAGGTAAAAATTTCTCAGCAACCGATTTCGGCATTGTATTTACATTAATCATTTTTACAGCAACTAGGCGTTTATAACTGCAATGTTCAGGAAAATGTTTCAGTTGCGCATTTAGCATGAATGGAACTTTGCTACTTCTTGAAACTGTTAACAACAGATTCATCACTACCAGCAGTTTATAACTAAAATTTGCAGCCTGTTCTAAAAGAATCTCTGTATGACTGCTGCAGGTAGTCACTGGTCACCGAGATATTTAGTGTTCGGATAAGTCAGTGCATCTCCGGATCAACTTTTGATTTCTGGGGTTACATTTCTTACGTTTGTTTGACTTGCTAAACATTTCAAATTTTTACTTGCTGTTTTTCATTTAATGATAAATGACTGTTTACTAAGGTCTATTTACTAAATAGGCTGCAGCTAGACTGGATTCATCAATTCCAAATCAGTCCTTTAAAAGGTGAAATCTCGAGCAGGTAAAATTGATTCGCTATTCTAAGTCAATACACTAAGCTTTTTAATTACTAAGCGATGATTACAAATGAAGGCCTCAGTCCTTGTAAGAGATTTAGACTTCGAAGACAGCACAAAATGTAGCATTAATTTAATAAGTAAAACCACAAACAGGCCAGATTTAACGCAGTAAACTGTAGAATGAGCTGTTCGAGCAATTCTCGACTCGACACAGCCATCAATCGAACGAAGAATACTCTGAAGAGCAAATTCCATTGAGAGAGTATAATGTAACAGACCACCATATCCTGCCATTTCAAGCAATAGGAATGCTTTATTCTCAATAGTTTTTTAAATTTATTAATATTTGGAAACTGCTACAATGAAAACCTCTCTTTAATTATTAGGTTATATGATACGATTTTACAGATGTCACTAGAAGAGTTGGAAAGCGAAGGGAGCCATTAATTTGCTTGAGTTACAAGAAAGGAGTATATAATTAGCTGGCGTGAAAGCATTTCACAATGCAATACTGAAATCTTTGGGCAACCTAAGGAACTTAGCAACAAATGAAACGAATAGTTATTTTACAGATATTGAATTAATGAATTTTAGCAATGCTCTTTCAATTTTACTAATTCACTTCTTCGATCTTCTTTCAATGTCACAAACAACGAGATCCACAGCTGCAATTATAAATTTTGTGCTTCTGTCTTTTGAGATGCGGCTGAGATTATTAATGTTAGATAATGATAATAAGTAATGAATCTCCCAAAAACTTGTAAATACTTCTTTCTCCTTTTACATAATTTGCATTTTAATTTGAATTTTCAAGCAATCAGAAATATTCTCTAATTTCAGTATCTCTAATTTTTTATGACTAAAGTGCGAATCTACTTGTGCTTAAGTCCAGTTATTTCTTTTAGATTCAGTTATAGTAGTGATGCTCACCAAGTTTGATTTTAAAAGTTTTTTACTACCAGTTTTTCTTTAGAGTGTCATGACAAGTAAACTTGAAAAGTATATTCCAAAAGTTATCAATCCCTTTTTTTTAAAATTCTTCAGCAGATACACAGGACAATTCAAAACCACATCATCAACTGCAGAAAACCTAAGGTGTTAGTGCGTGAGAAGCGTCAACTACAATACATGTTAAGAGACATACATAATTATTGCTCTCAATTATCTGTTGACGTGACGCGTGACGCCAAGCATGAATCTATTCCGATAATTTTAGGACTTGATATCCCAGTTATCGCATTAGCGATAATGTCACAAAGTGGCACATGGAAAGACATTACACCTGCAATAAAATTTAGTCCAAACAATTCATTTCTGTTGGGATGACAAAATGCTGATTAACTATTAAGGAAAAGATTTAAATGAACTGAGTTGGAAGTCAGATAGATTCTCCAAAGCAATGTAAAATGAAATCAGCTAAATTGAAAATGGAAATGAAAGTCTGCCCAACAAATTTAATTTTGTCTGAATCATAAAAGCTTGCCTTTTTTCTCATTTCTTTTACCCAAATCATCAGTCTTTAATGCCAATATCTTTCTCATATAATTTTCAGTTTCCCAAGATTTAAATATGGTCTGAAATTTGAATGGGTGCGTCGCATCTTCAACATTGATATCAGAAGAATAATAGGTTTTCTAATAGATTTAAAATATAGCACTTTTTGAGCCTCAAAATCAAAGCTTAGATAATGTTTCTCTTATAGAAACTTTGCAATTCAGAGGGCAATCTTCTAGGCCATTCATCTTGCGTGATCGCCTTGCCTGTAATATTATTTAATTGGCTTTCAAAAGAAGAAAGAATAAAGAAGGAAAAATCCGAAACAAAAAATAGATAAAGCGGACAGCAACTGGTTTCCGCCCGTCAACTCCACATACTAGTTGTCGAATTCCGTGAAACACAAAACATTTATCATATTACCTGGTATGATATCAGTATGATATCATATTATCATATTAGCATAAGCGTTATGCTGTAAATTTTTAACAGATGGTACCATCATCATTTTTTGGGCTTCAAATTGAATAAAAGTTGAATAAATCAAATTGAATAATTCAATAACTAGTTATTGAATAACTAATTATTGATTAATTAGTAAGAAAATGAAAGTAGGAAGGCGAAAGATAAGGAATAAGTATAGCACGGGACAGGTCATCAGAGAAAAGGCAATGAAAATGGGTAAGCAAAAAAATTGCTTCTCCTGGCAATCCGATAGATCTCTTTGAAAATTTATCAAAATTTCAAATTTAGCTATGACACTTGTTGGTGAAAAATG